TTTTTTTTTTTTTTGTTTTTGTTTTTGTTTTTGTTGTTGTTTTGTTTTGTTTTTTTCCCCAGAATGATCGTCTCGATGAGACCTACACACTAGTATGATCAAAAGTAGATTTCGACAACTTTGATTTCTAGGCAATTTTGAAAATTGCTCTATTCTTCCTCTATTTTGTAGAAATTATGTAATTCTTGACCTTCTTAGCTCTGATACCACTTGTTAGTGAGAGTGGGGTGTACATCACTTGTTGTGATTCACAAAGAGAGAATTAACACTAAACCAAACTCAATTTAAATTCACTCAATTTTTAATTTTTTTTGTTAAAAAAAAGTGCATATATTACAAATCTCTCTCTCTCTCTCTCTCTCTCTCTCTCTCTTATTTTTCTTTCTTCCACACTCTTATCAAATAACTAACCACTTAACCCATATATAGACTAATCTCACAATGTAAACAAATAATCTGAACAAATGGAAATAAAAAAAAAAACAAGCAGCAACTAATCAAATTGAAATTGAACTCCTTAGTCCAAGAGTTTCTTCAATCTTCATTCCAGAGACTCCTCTTCAACTTTGTTTTTTTTCAACCTCCATTCAAATAGTAACGAAGGTTCATGAATTCTCCTAATCTCTCTTGATGGTAAGAGATGATCGGTGATGAATCGAGCTTACTATTTTGAACATAATAACAAAAAAAGAAAACACTTCTTAGAATATGTGTTTCATTTCATTATCAGTTTGGTGGTCGAGATTTTAATTATGTCAAGTTAGTCCTAAAACATTGATGATAAAGATGAAATATAAGGGAGAGGTTACAATGTGTACTTGCACATTGTAGGAAAAATTAAACTTTTGGTGAGAGAAGTTATGCTTTTTGCATAAAGTGCATATGATGTGCACTTGAACATCCGAAATATAATACAACACTAATGGATGAAATTGACAAATTAAAACTTGAGGGACCAAATTGCACAAAATATATAGTTTAGGAACAATAATTAAAATTTATCATTATTTCATTAATGATCTAAATGGTTGTTTAAAATTTGACCAATTTGACTTACATTCAAAATTTTAGGAATGAAATTGATGAAATTAAAATTTGAAGGGCTAAAGTTGGTTCGTTTGGCAAGTGGGTTGACTTTTTGATTTTTTAGTTTTTTGACTATTTTAGCATAGGGCTAAAAAGTTTGGTTTGGGAAGGGTTTTTTTCAGCTTATTTGACTTTTTGTGAAAAAAAATATAATGATTATGGGTTGGATGTGATATTTTGTCTTATTAGGCTGAAAAGCCTATTTTATTTTTTTGTGGCTATTTTTGGCAAAAAAACCCAAACCCATACTTCCCAAACGAGCTCTTTACAATTATCCAAACTATACTTGGAATAAGAAAATGACACCAGTCTCCCTTTGAAAGAATAATCTTTTATATCTACACCTATTATTTAGGGTTGTTTTGGGAAGTGCCAAGTAAGCTGACTTTTTTACTTATTATAAAAAGATGTGGTGGTCATGACGATGGTGAGGTCACGATAATAAAGCGACGAAGAAATAATGGCTGTGGCGACGAAGGGCTACGTGATAGTGATTAGAGAAAAAAGAAGAATAAGTGAGTTGCGGTGGTTAAAGGAATAAAAAGAAGAAAAGATGAAAGTGATGGGGAAGAGAAGAGGGCTACGTGGTTGGAGGTTTTAGGAAGGATGGTCACCAGTGAAGAGGGATTGGGTTGGCTGTTGGAACGATGGTAGTGGTACCAGCGGTAGTGGTTGGAAGTGGATGCTAGGGTTTGGGTTTGGAAAGATAAGGATAGTTTTGGTATTAACATAAGTGTAATGAGAAAAAATGATTTATAGAAAAAGTGTAAAAAGAAAATGGATGTAAAGATTCCATTCCATTTCATTTCATTTCATGGTGCAAGTAAAATTACTCATAATGAATCTTTTTGGAATATTTTATCACAAATATGACTTAATTGTTCATATTAAAATTTGATAAAGCTTAATAGTAATCTTGAAAACAAAATAAGACTTATCAGTTATTTTTTCATTAAAATATTAGAAGTAATTTTATGTTATTTAAGGTTCTCAATCCATAAATCCAATTTTAAATATTTTTTATCTATAAATCCACACTTTAAAATATTCTGTCTACAAAGACAAGTTTTTATAAATGACCAAACTACCCGATATATATATATATATATATATATGTTGCTCCCAAACCCTAAAACCATCGTCTCTCTCTCCTCTGCTTTCATCGCTAGCATTCTCCATCCTCCACCTCCATATCCACCGTCTCAACCGCTATCGTCGACGAGTATATAACATCGATTCCTCATCGTCAACAAGTTCCACGCGGGGAAGGATGTAGGAGACACTTTGGGTAGGAATGGTGTCTATGAGGATATATGTGTTCTAGTAGCAATTAGAAAAGAAAGAGAGAAAGAAGGATCCATGGCGTCTTCACCAATTCTTCGCCATTGAATGTAGCATAAGGTCAGACAAGTGCAGATATCTCAGTAATAGACTACTTCCTTGGGGCAGGACTCCACACACAGGCCAAAAGGAAATCAATTCAACAACCAAAATATTTACAATTAACAAAATCCCATATGACAGACCATGCTGCAAATTTCATTTATGAAACCTCACTGATCCCATTTCTTGAGAACGTAGAAATGATTTTCCTAAACCCCTTCAAAAACAAAAACAAAAACAAAACGAGAGAGAGAGAGAGAGAGAGAGAAGGTTTCTGCATAAGGTCTGCAGAACAGTTCCCGTGCCTACCTCCTAACGATGAATAAGAAACAATAGGTTGTTTTGTCCTCTGTTCATTTGTTGACAGATTTCTTTCACTTTTCTTTTGATCATGAGGTTCTTTGGACCATTTTTTGGGAAGGAAGGCAAAGCGCACCATGGAACCTTTCTATGAGCCTTTCATTATCATTTTCATTAAGATTCAGAACAAGTTTCCTCTTACTGTGTCTTCTCAGCAATCAACTAGAGCCTTAGAGGGTTAGCATATGGGTTAGCAATAGGATGAAAAAGAACATGATAATGTAGTAGATAACAGTTTGCTGCATTTTTTCTTTGCAAGTGCAGTATACATGAAAAGGGGATCTCATAATTCCTATGAAATGCCACAAAGAAGATGAGAAGAGAACATAAAAGATGAAGCACTTGATGTGATGAAGTGCTCTAACATTGCTAGACAAAAATCATAGCAGGATGTTTTAAGTCCTGATAACTTTAATCCATCAGACCTCAAAATCTAGTAATTCTTGGCTGTAGATGACTGAACCAGACGAAACAAATTTCTTTACGTCATAAGTCCATAAGGACCGAGTTTCAGGACTTGTAATGCAGATCTCGACATTTATAAGGTCTGCAATTGTACCAGATTAGATCATTCATGCCGTCTTTCCCAAATTTAACACCGTCAATTTGGTTAACTATTTAACTAGGACAAAACAAATAACACATGCATGTAGTATCACTGAAATCACCATTTTCATAATTTCCCAGTGAGATAAACACTTAACAAGTTAGCATTAAAAAAATGGTATATCAATATTGGTAACAAGTTAGCATCATTAAAAAAATGGTATACCAATATTGGTGAACTGAAGTCCTTGAGTCCTTCCATATTAAATTCTACTTAAAAATGCAAATGGGTACACTTAATTAGTACGAGAGTTAATGCACAAGCCAATTGGTTAACTAATTCCCAACTTCTCTCTATTTGCAACAAAATAGGAGCTCAAGTTAAAAATTTTAGTTGATTACAAACCCGATAAAGCCCCTTACAGAATCAATAATCCAATTAATTTAATTGAGACAATTGTACTTTGAGGAAAATTGAAAATTGACAAGACTTCAAAAGTGAGAAACACCAAAACATTATTCTCTGTTCAGAATAATGCAAATTAGGATACAAGAAAAATAAATGTTTTGTCCAGAAAAGTGATAATTAAAATTTTATAATATTCTATCCATCTCATTTTATGTTTCCAACTTCCCATTTTTGAAAATTCATTTTATGTGTCCCAGTTTGAGGAGTTAAAAAATTTTAACCATTACTTCCTTATTTCAAACTATATTTAATTTCAATTACAATTGACATCCTTGCAATTTAACCATTCAAAATTTAAGGGATTTTTTTTTTTTTTTTTTTTAGCAAAGTCAACCAGGACACATAAATGGGACGGTGGGAGTATAAACCAGCAATAATCAACATCTAGGGGTGTACACGGTCCGAATTGGTTTAGTTCTGAGAAAATCCAAGAACTGAACCGATCCTAACGGTTCTGTGATTTTGAGAACCAGACCAGACCGTTATACTTGTAAAACCGGACTAGAACCAAACCGAAAAAACGGTTCGGTTTCGGTTGGTTTACGGTTCAAAAAATTTCTATTTACAAGAATAAATTGTTAATATTAGCAAAATAATTACTCAAACTAATTACATTTAACTCATGATAAAAACTAATAATATTAAGGCATTACTTAATATTACATATATATACCATCCTGATATCATTAAAATTGTAAAAAAACAATTAATAGAAATAAAACTTGATATTATATATATATATCTTTTAAAATTCGGTTCGGTTTGGTTCAAACCACAATTTTTTCATAAAATCCATTAACTGAACCGTTTTTACGGTTCTCATATTTCTTAATCCGAAACCGAACCAATTCTTAATAGAACTAAACCAAACCGTATGATTCGGTCTGATTCGGTCCGAATTACCGGTTTGAACAGATTTTTTCACAGTCCTAACATCCACTTCAATTAACACTTAAATTGTATAACTTCCTGTATTTCAAAAATGGGGCAACAAACCAATTTCTTTGCATTAATAATGTAGCAAAGTAATTAAATTTAATAGAAATTCAACAAACACGTCGAAATGAAATATCTCATTAATTGCTATCAATATGTAATATCTACAATGAAAATATTCATGTAAATGATCTCTTCTAAAACACATACATGATGAATACTAAACACCGGCTGGAATGGTAAAAGTAATGGGGCACTGCTGCATTGTATTTGTTGAATACAAACTAACCTCATCTGGAACTAAAATCTCTTTACTCTCTTCAATTTCTCCATCATCCTCAACTAAACCTTCTACAAATGAGTGATTCAAGAGCATTTCAGCTGTCAATCTATACATAGACTTCCTCGCAAAACAACCCTTCAAAAACTCCCTTCCCTCTTCTGATACCTCACTCGGAACTTTAGGCAATTCATGACCTTCGCCAATCTGACGAAGAAGAACCTCAGCATCAAGATCTTCCTTCCCAACCCACGGAGGCTTTCCCGTTAGCATCTCAAGCACAATACACCCAAAAGCCCAAATATCAGAAAGATACATTGGAGTTCCTCTCCAGTAAGGATCCAATCTTCTCTTCTTATTCTGTTTCGCTCTCTTCGTCAATCCAAAATCACCAATTTTCACTTCAAATAACTCAAACTGGACCTTTCAACTCAAATAGTACACTGGATTGAAGCAGCATCCTTATTTTTAATACAACATCTCTATTAAAATTTTAAGGACACATTCAGATTTTGATATACCAAAAAAAAACTTACATAAAATTTTTGTATAGAATGATATGGACATTTCCCTTTAAAACAACCATCCATGAAAGATTACTTTTATTTATAAAAAGGACAAATTAAATTCCTAGTCCTTATAGTTTGTTTATTGCGTTAATTTGGTCATTTAAGCCCTATTGTATTAACTTCTTTAATTTTTTATAATATATCAATTCAATTCAATTGATAATATTTATTATTAAATTAAACAAAAATTAAAGACAAAATAGTTCATTTAAAAGGGAATGATCCATGTTTAATTACTTTGAGAATGGAGAATTGACTATTTGACTTTAATTTTAATCAAGTTTATTATCCGATAGATTTTTTGTGCAAAGTTAATAAGTAAAATTAATACAATTAAAACTGTAATAAAAGGCAAATGATGTAGACTATAAACATAAATGGTATTGATTTGACACATTGTGACAAATTAAAAATAAAATTAATGCAACTAGAACAAAAGGATGAAATTGACACAAAAAAACAAATTAGATGATATAATTTACCCATATAAAAATAATAATGAAATATTATTCTTTATTTTAGTTGTGTATAAAATTTTTGCGGGAATAGAACTTTCTAAATTAAATTCGAATGCAACTGGTTGGATCCGGTATCCAAACTCAAAAAATCCAAACCCAAACCCACCGACCCAACAAAACCCCATTCTGTAAGGTTACTTTCTTAAACGGCAAGCCACATGACTGTCATATCACTCAGTCTCCCCTGTTTACAGACTTCAAACCTACTCCAATTTGGAAACAAAATTCCACATTATCTACCAAATCCCAAAACCCTAAGACCAAATCCTATAAATACCTACATAGTAATAAGAAAAATTCACGTCAATTCAATATTCTCTAAACAACACAAACAACAAGCAGTCTTTGGTGGTGTTTGGGAAGCAAGTTCTCAAATTTTTTTCTCATTTTTTCCACTAAAAGACAAAAGTTTTGCAAAACCAAGAAAAACACATCCAAACAAAATATCACATCCAACCCCATAATCATTTCACTTTTTCTCTCACAAACATCACATCCAACCACATAAAAACCCAACTATCTTCCCAAACACCAAAAATTTTTTATCTCATAAAAACCTACATCTACTAAAATCTACATAAAAACTCACTTCCCAAACACCATCATTATCTGGGTAAAAGGCTCCAAAAAAAAGAAAACAAAAGCAAACTAGAAAAAACTGAAAGTACACAGAGACCCCAGTTCAGATACCTTATATGACCTTTTCAATGGTTCATGTCAAAGACAGGTTTTAATTAGCAAACATGAAAGCTACTTCAGATTAAACCCACAGAGGCAAGTAATTTTCAATCACCACCAAAATGAACTGCGAGATCTGTGATGTTAAAAAGCATTTTGTACTGGCCTGAAGTCCCCAGGCCTTGAAATGATAGATCTAGAGCAATGAAATTTCTAGGACGTGTCTAACACTTGTACAATTAAGCCTGAAAACAGCTCTAAAAAACATCACAATTGGTCAAAACATTAAAACATTACTTTTAGCTAAAGAGTTGCTGCAGAAGTAACAGAAATGAGCAGATCAGAAAATGGCTCTTAGAGCTGTTATAAAGATAGAGAACAACATTTAGAACTTAAAAAAGTACTAGGAACTACGAAAGTATCTACCTATGTCATTAACAATTAAATCATTAGTTGCAGACAAATGTCACATACCTGACCTCCCAGGTCCCAGAACACTAGCTTTGTATTTGAGACTTCAACACGCCCAATGTTTAGCCCCACAGTCGGCACAATTCTATCAGGAGGAAGACCTTCCAAGTTTGAGTATTGTGCTTTCAACTTCTCCAGTAAAGTCTACAAATGCCGAGACATAGAAAAATGAGTAGAGACAAATCTTTCAGAAGGCATGTTCAATCTTAAAATAGTGGTTTGTGCCTGCACAGGTGTGCCAGCATGCATTTGTGTGTATACCCATAGTGGAAGACATGGGGTGATACATATACAACAATATTTATATGCAAAAAGACACAAGGCTCTTGGTGATCCTTTAATTTTGAACCAAGACCTATATATTACATATAGCAGAACTTGAAATCGAATTGCGATCCCAACACTTACATATGTCACACTTTTTTTTTCTATCCAAAATAACCCTAAAATTGGTAACCGCTAAAACTCCACATCCTGTAACTGCTAATTCAATCTTCATTCATTACACTGCCCAAAATTTAGATGTATAAAATTGCAAATGCATCACATTTGCACCAACCACTAGTATAAATATATATGTGCACAAAAAAGAATTTGTGCATCAAAGTATTGCGCAGAAAAACATTTGTGACTATTTCCCACTTTGTGCTATGAATTTAAATGCTTATTTCCCAATACAAACTGACATCTAATCAAACCAAGTATACCCACCCACAAACCCAAACTCAATTTCAAGCACCAAATCAGTAAACAAGAGAGCTAGGTCACAAATTCACACCTTAAGTAGTCTCACAAAATCCACCCAATTAAACCTTTCGAATCCAATCTTGGAAAGAAAAAAAAAATTTCTTGCCATGCGCGAAACAAGAACCCTAGATTTATTCATATTGTGTTTTAAATTGCATGAGAATTAACCCAAAAAACACAATGAAATCAAAAAAACAACACAGCATATATAGACATATATATATATATACCTGAGAGTGATCTCGTTTCATGAGATTCATTAGGGTTTGGGCGGCGAGGCGGAGCTCGGAATCGGAGTTTCGGACGACGTATTTGATGGCTTTGAGGAGGCGTGGATCGACCTCCGCCGCCGTAGAGTTTGTGGCGTTCTCTATCAAACCAACCACCACCACCGCCTTCTCTCTCTCCTCCTCCATCATCGCCTCTATCTATCTACACATGAAGACTCTCTGATCTGATTTGATTGTTTGTTTGTTTGTTTGTTTTGTTTCTATCCTCAAAAACTGCCTCGCAATATTTTTTTGAATTTTCTTATCAATTTTCCCGGAAAATTCTTTTGCTGTCTGGATAGAGGCAAAAGTCAATGCGACGACGATTATCTAACAAAATGTGCAATGCAAGGCGAATCGAACGGCGTCGTTGGATGAATCTATGCTTTGGGCTAAAAAAATTCAACCTGGGCCCCAATTTAAACTGTATGGACCTAAGCCCAAAGCTCGGCCCAATTCAAAATTGTAACAAAACTAGGTCCTGAAGCAACACATGTTCTGTGAGGTTGCCATATTAATGAATATTAGTACAATTTTTTTATTTTATTTTTATTGAAGGGAATAGGGGAATGGGAAAGTACACAGGAGTAAGATTTGAATCCAAACATAACATCTGATAAGGAAGCAGTCCGTTTGGTAGCTCAAAAATAATTAGCTCAAATTGGCTCAAAACCCAAAACGACGTCGTTTTGGGTTTTCCTTCTTTTTTTTTTCACGATTCTCATCTTTATCCTAGTGAGTGAGACACTTCCTTCTGAATAATACCTAGTAGCTCGGAAATTATTAGCCCGAATCGGCTCGAAACCCAAAACGATGGCATTTTGGGTTTTTCCTTTTTTCTTTTTTTCCCCCTTTTTTTGCTTTTGAATACAGACGAGACAGAGAAGAGAGAAGAGAGAAGAGGGAAGAGAAGAGAAGAGAAGGAGAAGAGAGAAGGAGGAAGAAGAGAAGAAGACGGTGATGGCGGTGATCGCCGGTGGGTATCGCCGATCGCCACTTTCTTTGTTTTCTCTTCTTTTTTTTTTTTTCTTTTTTTTTCTAGTTGATCTGAATCTGAAGATGAATGAAAAAAAAATATATATATATATATATATATATATTTTTTTTTCATTCATCTTCAGATTCAGATCAACTAGAAAAAAAAAGAAAAAAAAAAAAAGTAGAGAAAACAAAGAAAGTGGCGATCGGCGATACCCACCGGCGATCACCGCTATCACCGTCTTCTTCTCTTCCTCCTCCTTCTCTCTCGCCTCTTCTCTCTTCTCCTTCTCTTCTCTTCTCTCCTCTCTTCTCTCTTCTCTCTCTCTCGTTTGTATTCAAAAGCAAAATAAGAGGGAAAAAAAAAAGAAAAACCCAAAATGGCATCGTTTTGGGTTTCGAGCTGATTCGGGCCAATAATTTCCGAGCTACTAGGTATTATTCATAAGGAAGTGTCTCACTCACCAAGATAAGGATGAGAATCGTGTCGTGTTATTGATTATGTTCATATTGAGTCATTTTAAATTTCAAAAATTATTCAATCTTAACTGACTACTTTCATGTATAATACATGGTAAAAACTTTTACTCTAACTCAAAGCCAACCTTGGAAATTACATTACCATACAGTATAATTATTTATGAATTATGTTGATCCCAATAATAACATTTATCAGAAGGAGAAATGTCATGTTTTTAAGCCAAGAATGTCTTTGACATTTTATAATATGATAAAATAAAATAATATAACATGGCTTGAGGGGGGTGGTTTTTTTTTTTGGCAAACAAAGACTAATGTCCTAGTGAGATCTTGTTGGCTAAAAGACATGCATTGTTTTGGAGAATCTAGTATAAAAAATTGTGGTGTTTGGGGGGGAGAATCTAGTATGAAAAATTGTGGTGTTTGGGTTGGGGTTTTGTGCGTGGGTCATACATTGATGCATATTTACTGGGATTAGGCTCTTTTCACATGGACCATCATGGCACATGGGTGAAGAGAGAATTTGGGCTCTTTCCTTCCTATAATGGATGGTGCCAGGTAATGAAGAATAGGTCAACCAGCCGAAATAAATTAGAAAAATTAGTTCAAGTGAAGTGGTGAATAAATAATTTTATTTTTATAGTGATATAAGTTTGATATGTATATTGTAATTTTTTTTTTTAATGTTTGGTGTAATTTTTTTATATGTAGACTTGTATTCTTTTTTTGTTTTTTTGTACTTATAATGTAATTATTTTAAGACTATCTCGTTTATTTATAATTTTTTTCAAATAAATTTTACACCTTATTTCTTTTAGACATTCTTAAAACTAATATGTTGTGGTGGTGTATATTATGTATTAGTAATAACTTTTATCCGTTTCACTGAATTATCAATATCCAATACCGTTCCAAATATCTTAATCCAATTCATAAGTTGTCTCCTCTGGAGTTTGAATTGCACAACTGTACCAATCCGATTTCATATTCCACATATTAACTGATTCTGATACTAAATGCTACAAACTTTTTAGGTAAAATTCCTCCTTAAAAATCAACTAACAAAAAAATATATTTAAAAGACTTATATACACCGAACCGAGAGTTATGTTAATTGATTTGAAATCGTAAAAATGTATAAGCTGTTATTATTATTATTATTATTATTATTATTATTTGGGGAAAGTTAGGCCACAAATGAGAGCCTGACAGAGACAAATTGCCTTGTGACAATTTATGACTTAGATATTCTGCTGCATGTGAGTATACACGGCCTGAATTGGTTCGGTTCTAAAAAAATTCAAGAATTGAATCGATCCTAACGGTTCTGTAATTTTGAGAACCAGATCAGACCGTTACATTTGTAAAACCGGACCAGAACCAAACCAAAAAAACGGTTCGATTTCGGTTTGGTTTACGGTTCTAAAAATTTCTATTTACAAGAATAAATTGTTAATATTAGCAAAATAATTACTCGAACTAATTACATTTAACTCATGATAAAAACTAATAATATAAAGACATTATTTAATATTACATATCTATACCATCCTAATATCATTAAAATTATAAAAAACCAATTA